GGCGTTGGTTTTGCTCGTTGACGATTTCTCTCGCCACATTAGGTGGTTGCCTTTGGTCACCTTCCCCACGATTATTCTCGTCTTCCATCGTTGCTGGAGAGTTTTGGGCTAACCGTTGATTTTTCCTGGCTTGCCTAAACGTTCGCTCAATTTCGGGATCAAGAGGTAGCAAGCTCGTGTTGTGTCCTCTTCGCATAAAAAGTACCTAAAAAAAAATAAAAAAAAATAATTAAATAAAAATAAAAAAATTGGCTGAAGTAAGAAAAATTGCTCAAATTTAATATTAGGATAAATAAATAATTTAGCCGTATTCCCCGGCAACGGCGCCAAAAACTTGTTGGGTGCTAAATACCAACACGCAAGTGCACGTATCGCAAACAAGTAGTAAAGTAGACTCGTGAGAGTCGGATGTCGATCCCACAGGGAATACGCAAATTATTTAATCCTAAGTACCAAATCTTAACAATTACGATTTTTATCCAGCCTACGCAGGGTTGTCAAATTAATTAACTAAATAAATTAAACTAATTACGAAAGCAATTAAACACGAGAGAATATCAATATAAAACGGATCTAGGATTTTATCTTTCCCCTATGCGATAATTCTTCACCCAATTAATCTCCTATCATGCAAGTTACGATTCCCGATTATTAACCCAAGACACGAAATTATTCATAACCAGCTGTCGCTGCGCTATAAACCTATTATTCATAAAAGATTCACTATATGTCTATGCAAACCTAGTATAAATAAAGCATTAAATAACAAGTCTCGTAAACGGCTACCTAAGGTATTATCTGTATGTCTACGATAATACATGCAATTAACACACACATTCGGTGAAAAACTACTCGAAGGCTCTTCTATCCCTGTTCTAATTATTAAAACGATCTGTCAATCAATTCTAACAATAACAAATAGCAACATAAGTTAGCTACGCTCATGCACTAAATACGATCAAGATAGAAGAAATAATCGAAGAATTAAAATTGCATAAAAGTAGAAAAATAGGTTCGAGTTACCACATAGGGTTCCAATAAAATCCTAGAATAAAAACTTAGCTACTCATGTTCGTTACGAAAAGCATAATAAAAATACGAAAATTCATAAAAATCAGAAAAGAAAAGGAAAAAGGAAAACTAGGATGAAGAGTCGTCAAGTCTTCGTCTTCGTTCTCTTGCTCCTTGATTGCGTGTAGAAAAGATAAAAAACTAAAAACTAATAATAACGATAAAAGGTAAAAGATCCAAGATCCGTCTAATTGTGTGCTTGTGGCCTTTAAATAGGGTGCAAAAATTTAATAGGGCGGGTTTCCTTGTGTAATTAAACTTCCTTCACTGCGCTCCTACGTCCATCCGGACGGCCGTGTGAGATTAGGCTTTAAAATCCGGACGGCCGTCCGGTCTTCAATTCTTCAGAATTCTGATTTTTTCACTTTTGGCCCACTTTTTCTCTGAATTTGCATTTTTCACCCCAAAAGTTGCCAATTCTTCAATTTGCACCTAAAATACAAATAATAACCATATTAAGCACCAATTATCGTAAAAACACATCAAAAGCTCCAATTAAAAGGTACAATTAAGTGTATAAATATACACTTAACACCCACTAAGCCATATACTTAACCCACTAAGCACTATTTAGCCTATAACAAAAATTTAGTTTAAAAATAAGAAAGTTAAAAAACAAATTGTGGAATTCCACATTCCACGTGTTTCACTCCGGAACAATTCCACCTTACAAGGGAGAGAGTCCGTGCAAGCTCTCCAAAGAAACACCCGAATTTTCGGTGGGACTGCCAATTGCCAAATCGTCTTCCATCTTCGACATGTTGAACCGCTATTTTCTCCCATATCTCTCGCTATCGAAGGAGACTCTTGGTCAGAACGGTCGAGTATATTGCGGTAACAAGACTTCACCGTGAAGTTGCCATTTTTTGAGAACTTCCATATCATCCGATCCCTAGTTAACGATCCACCAATGGGAACTGACAGAATGCGGTACTTATCCACCGGCCAAAATGTATTCCCAACCACCTCCAGAATTCCAAGTGTTTGAATTCGTGTTAATAATGTCTGCCACCGTATTTGGAAATACCGAGTGCTTAGGCTGAGTAGTTAAAATCCCCGGGCAACCATCATGAATGAAAATTAGGTTTAATCAATTGATAACAAATAAACGAGTTAATTTATATATTTCAAAAACATAACAATGTTATTCTAAATTTGTTTATTCACTTTATTTAATACAAAAGATTTAGAATATCAATTGTTATGTTTAAAATATATAATGATTGTACATACTATATATTACATTCCACTTATTAGTATTAGTATTAGAATTTGGATTAGAATTAATATTAGTATTAGTATTGGTATATTATATAGGTTGTACCCTAATTTGAGGCATGTGATACGGCTTAGTATGTGTTTAACAAGTTGACTGAATGATTGTAGTTTCCCCTTCACAGGGCTGAGTATATATAGTGGCGGCCGCAGTTAAGATATATCATAATTCGAGAATCATGCAATTGAAAGAATGGAATATTTTGTAAAAAATCATTCAAATTAGAATCGATATAAGTGACTTTCATCAGCAATATTTGAAGTGTTATAAATTACAACATAAATTTTCCAAATACAGAATTGACAAAGAATAAAAAAATAAAAATAAAGGATTATAAACACAGAAGTTACATATAGCAACTAATTAATTATGAACATAAGAAGAAAATGAAAGAATATTTCGCAGAGTTATCTTAATTGTTACCCCCGTCATTTACTTTAGTTAGTTATTCTTGGACGACGACTTGGAATATAGGGACGGAATACTCTGCTCGTTTCTGAAGAAGTTAGTTGGATCCACCTTAGTTTTTATCCGCACCAACCTTTTGAAGTTGTTCTTGAAATACTTGAGCCCCCAAACGCTAGCCTGCGCATAACTTCTTGATGTTTTGCCATCTCCGTTATAATTATTTACTCCGAAATCGAGGTCACGATAATTCATATACGAAGCTCTTGGAGATTTTGAAACGTAAGGAGTCATGTAATCATGTAGTTTCCTCGACCAACTTATCGATCTTTCCGATGCAACTGCTCCACTCTCTTCCCAATAAGCCAATTGTTGAATTTTGTATAGATTTCCCGCTCTGTGTGGGAATGGAAGCGCTGTTTCCGATATTTCCTTCATTTTTCCACCGTACGGGACTACTAATAGCTCCCCCATATTTGCTTCTCTCTCTAGCAACAATTTCCACATTCCTTCGAACCCTTTGATCGAGATTGGTTCCTGCACATAGTCTAGTTTCGCTTTGAAGTAATACCTTGTTATCGGAAGCGTGCTCCTAATTTCGGGGTTTCTGCTCGTTACGACTTCCGGCGAAACTTGTATTGAATACCCGCCGAAGAAAAGTGCCGATTGCATCCAGCTCACCTCAGTGCAATCTTCTCTCCTGACTCCCAATTCCGGAAAGCTCTGTTCCAACAACGGCAGCAGTTTGTCGACCCCACCGAGATACACTGAATTGAAGTTGGCTTGAATAGTTTTGCCACCAGAAGCTCCACTCGAATTCACCGGACCAATAGAAATCGAAAGCAATATATCTTCGTCAAGATTCGGAGCAATATATTGCCATTTATGAACTAGTTGAGTTGCATTCTGCTCCAGTGTTCTTCCAACGGAGAATATGGTTAGGGTTTCCGGAACCGTAACCAACTTCAATTTCCATGCAGTTATAACACCAAAGCTAGAGCCACCGCCACCTCTAATGGCCCAAAAAAGATCCTCTCCCATTGATTTTCTGTCAAGAATCCTTCCATTAACGTCGATAATACGAGCATCGATAATATTATCAGCGGCAAGGCCGAATTTCCTCAGCATCGGGCCGTACCCTCCACCGCTAAAGAGACCGCCAACTCCGACGGTGGGGCATGCGCCTGCCGGAAAAGCGAGCGTCTTACTTGTCTGGCTGATTCGATAATAGAGCTGCCCGATGATTGCACCTGCCCCAACCCATGCAGTTTTTTGGTCAACGTCGATTGCAACTTCACTGAAATTGAACAAATCGAGGACTACAAATGGAACTTGAGATGTATACGAAAGACCCTCGTAGTCGTGGCCGCCACTTCGAATTCTAATCTGCATGCCATTTTCTCGGGCGCAGAGGATAGTTGTTTGAATTTGATATTCTTCGAATGGGGTAACGATTACTTGAGGTCTAGGAGTGGAAGCTGATCTGAATCGAAGGCTTCTTACGGAAGATAGTAAAATCGATAGATACGAAGCGTCGTTAGGGGTATAAACAACACTGGAAATTCCAGTATTGTTTGGCAAATGAAGGGATAGGCATTGTAGAAAATCATTTTGAGGCGGACTGTGGGACGATTGAGCGTCGCAAGAATTACATGAAAGGATAATCGATACGATCATAAGAATCGAAAGAAAGGAATTTGGAGTTTTCATTGTAAAATATTATTAATATGAAATATGGTAAGTGTATGTGTTGATTGATATGAGAATGAGAATGAGAGGAATGAGAGCTTCTATTTATACCCACATAAATATGTTATGTAAAGAGTTGGTGAATTTGTCAATTCAAAGTTGTGTTTTGCCGTATGAATTAATGAGTGGGGTTTGAGGAATGAAGACTTTCCTTTTTCATGGAATAAAACGCTGTTGACTTTTCAGTTTTCAAGCATCGCGTCATTAGATCTTCTTTTGAATTGGTCTAATTTTTTTCAACTAAAGAAGGAGGCATAAAAAAAGGGCAATGGCAAAAAGCCCATCACATGGGACTTAAATACATTTTGGTTCACATAAAAAACATCCTCTCAATGAAACCCATCCCATTTAGGGATGGCAATGGGTACGGGTTAGGCGGGTCTTGGACCCGGAACCGACCCATTTTGTATGTTTTAGAAAATTAAAAAATAATAATAATATATATGTATATATTATTATTATATATATAATACTATCTATCTATATATATATAAAAAGAGAATCTCTTCTCTCCTATGTTGACACGTGTAATTTTAGGTTTCCCAACCCTAGGGGCAAATTGTGTATTTGTATAATTTTTGTGTACCAAATATCATAAAACTGCTGAAAATAAAAGACACCGTTCCATAAAAAAAACCCCTTTTCATCTTCCTTCAATTATCTGCACAATACAGTCTCCTCAACTGCATACACAAACAATCGAACAGTTTTTATACAGCAGTTTTATAACTTCTCATCCCCAAATTCATGTCTTATTATATGTACATCAACTCGAATCCTTCAATCCTTCACAGAAATCCCTCTATCCTTCACAGAAATCGTTCACATCTATCATTCCAGGAAATTGAAGATATCAAAATTCCGCCGGTAGATAAATCAACAACCTTTCCGGCAAAAGATAAATCAACCAAATCGTTTGCCATCGGAAACCCTGCGAACGGTGCTCGCAATATCAAGTAAGATTTTAAATTTCGACTAAACCAAAGGAAATAAAAATTTTGTGAAAAACAATATTATGTGATTTCCATCCAAAAGGTTTTTTGTTTACACTGGAAAAGGTTGTTCGATTGCAAAATATGGGTGACTTGCTTCACTAAATATGGGTATTTTTTTACAAAATATGGGTTTTTTTTTTTTAATATCTTTCCTCTGGCAAATTATGGCAATTTTGTAATCCAGACTAATCGGTGAAAAAAACAAATGATACCAACAGAAAATTGTTTATGTAGTCAATTGCATGTCTTACTTTAATATATATATATATATATATATATATATATATATATATATATATATATATATATATATATATATAACAAAAACTGTTTCTGTATTCATATACAGATATACATCACTTTGCATGCCTTATTTTTTGACTATATATACATATATATATATTTCTTAAGTACTAATTTTTGTTTTTGATAAATCATGCAGGTATGGCGCCGGCGCCACCACAGTTTACATGTTTCAATGATATTACACCCGAACGATATAACTGGAAAGTGATGGCGCGGGTGATTCGGCTGTGGAAAGTTCCTAGCAAAGCCGATCAAACTATTATTAATAGCCTTGATATGATCTTGGTCGACGAGCAGGTCATTATTCATTTACAAATTAATTTGTGGCTATTCAGATTTAATTATTGGCTTAGTAATATTGTAGCATATGTTTTTTTAGGGAGGAAAAATTCACGCGTCTATAAAAAGGACTCAAGTCAACAAATTTTACAGTATTCTGAAAGAAGGTAGTACTTACATCTTCCAAAATATAATGGTAGTTCCAAATGATCCGAAATTTAGAGCAACTCGCCATCCCTACAAGATCATATTTATCAACAACACTCGGGTAACCAATTGCAACGCTCAAAATATTCCAACAATTACTTATGACTTCACAAATTTTGTTGACATCATAAATGACGGGGATGACACGTGGCTTATAGGTTAAATGTTTTAAAGTATTAAGTTTCTTAATTCCCTTAATTTATTATACAAATATTACAATAGTTTTTAAAACATATGCTTTGTTTACTTTTAGATATTATTGGACATGTTATTGAAAGAGATGAAGTGAAAGATGTTGATATAAGTGGACGCAACCACAAGCTTCTGGAAATCACTCTTCAAGACTTATTGTATATATTTTTAGATTATGTACAATAATTTTAAATTTAATGATGAATAATTTCATAATTTTTATAAACCAAATTATTACGTACCTTTTTCAGGGGGAACCGAATAAAATGCACTCTATGGGATCAATATGTCGATCAAATGTCTCAGCATTTGAGTGATCCGAACTCAGCTGGCCCGGTCATCATTATACTGGAGTTGTGCATGTTACTTTCATGTAAATACGGCATAAAAATATGCCTCATTTTTATTAATTAAGGTATTTTTTCATTGTAGGCCAGAATAGTATTTCTAATGCTTTCCACAGCTCAAGATTGTTAATAAATGAAAACTCCGAACCACATCGAGAGTATAGAGAAAAGTGAGTATGTTTAAAATATTTCATTCAATTATCCAATTATCTGTTCTACAAAGCTTATATATTTAGTCTTACACTCCTCTAATTATGAATTTGTGATGCACTTTTTGTACACATATACAGACTCTTAATGCAAGACGCCGCGTTGACACAATCAATCAGCGTGATATCAAACCAGAGGTCGACAGGGATTGCAGATGATTTGTTGCAGACAGAGCAAATGACAATAATTGATTTGAAGAATTGTACTATTGTAAGTAATGAATTCTTCTGTCGTTAATTTTTAAATTGTTAGAAAACTAATTTCAAATTATCTTTTAGGAACGCAATGTTGTTGTACTTGCCAAGGTTATTGATATCGATCCTGATACTAAATGGTGGTATACTGCATGTTCTAAATGTTACAAAAAGGTAGAGCATACAAGTGCAAAATTCTATTGTCCAAGATGTGTAAAGGATGCTGATCCAATTCCAAGGTAATTTGTTTGTTCTATAATGCTCGACATATAGTTATATGATATATAAATGGTTTTTCACATATTAATGCATACATGTATAGGATTCAAGTATTGGTATTTGACACTACTGGATCCACTAAGTTGGTCATGTTTGATAAAGTCGTCAACAAAATTGTGGGCAAGCCAGCAAAAGAACTTATTGGTGATGTAGATAAAGTAATATAATTTTTATATTCATACAAAATGCTGAACAACTTCTACATATTTTTATTTTTCATACAATGATTTCTCATCGTTTTTTTAGGGTGATTTGAGTGATACAATTCCTAAAGAATTTGATGCCATCATCAACAAGGAATTTCTGTTCATGATAGATATTAGTGCGATGAACATATCAAAAAACTGGTCAGTTTATACTATAAAATCAATGTCAGCTGATGAAGAAGTTATACGGCAGTTTCGTGCAATGCATTCTATTGAGGTATTAGTCCCCAAATATATATTAGATATTGCATCATAAAGTATATTAATGTTTTATTAAATTACAGGTGTTTGTTGATGACGATGATTACTCAAATGGCGACAATACTAACCAGCAAGACGACAATTTGGATGTAAGAATTATTTACAACCCAACAAATATTTTATTATTTTTACACAAGTTACTAAAATTTAGCCCTCTTTCAATATTGTTTTTTAGAATTTTATCGACCATGATGATGATACGATACCAATCAGTAAATTGCGTGAAAAAAGACTTGATGACGACAACTTGGATGTAAGAATTATCTTTTATTTTTCAATTAGTAATTTTCTATATTAAATACACATTATTATAAAATCAACACTCCTTTAATATTTGTTTTAGGATTTCGTCGATCCTGATGTTGATGCGACACCAATCAGTAAATTGCGTGGTAAAGTACTTGGCTACGACAACTCGGATGTAAGAATTCTCTTTTTATTACATTTGAAAATATCAATTAAATATTTAAAATTTATTCTAGAAGACTAACATGAGTTATACTTGAATCAAAAACATCATTTGTTGTTGAAATTGTGAATATGTGAAATAGTTTGTAAATTCCATTATTGCCTTATATACATATACTTTTATATACAAATAATCCCAAATTAATTCACTTGAATTAACCAATAATTTATGAGTCTACGATTAACCCTCATCTATCTATGTTCATATTGTTGGGATTTCTTTCAATTTTGAAGATGACTAGGATCTGCCAGTTCTAATTTATTATTGACATTTTAATTGTGTTTTGTCTAGATCGTCAACACTAATGATGACAACACCCCAGTAAGTAAATTGTGTGGTAAACGACTTGGTGATGTACCTGGCGCTAGCTCTTCTAATTCATCCGACGATGGAACTACACAAACTTCAACTACCAAGCCATACAAGAAAATTAAAATAGAAAAACCGTGACGTACATGTCCTAGAGATTATTGTGTTGTTTATGACAGTACAATAGTATTAAACATTGTTGTACTTTCGATTAAGAACTCCAGTTTTATGTTGGTATGCTTCAACAGTTTTTTTAATTAAGTCTTTCTTTTTTAATTCAAACTCCAACTTCCAATTGCAACTTTAGGACAACTGGCGGTAGATAGATTTCATATATTCTCAATATTATTGTTATTTTCTTCCTCACTCCATGTTAGTGTTCTTGATTTTTCGTTTTCTTATGACGGGTTGTGTTCATGCTTATTTCTATTAGAATTGTACGAGTTTTGTGAATGTATCTTATGTTCATTGTATAATGATATGTTGCATTAGTGTAGACTGGATTTGAATTTCAAATCCAGCCACGAGATTTCATAGAGAAGAAACCAAAAAAATTTAATACAAAAAAATAAAACATTATGACCTAATATTCATGTTGTCTAATTTTTTTTTTCTGATTGAGAGGAGATTGTCTATTTTTTATAATTTTTGTTTTCTCTGTGTAATCCTATGTTAAATTACCTCACGTGTTAACACTACATGAATTAATAAAATAAAAATATATAAAATACATTAACTCTACTTGAATTAATATAATTAAAAATACTAAATGTTGAAAAAAATAATACCCCACTAACAAGTAACCTCTCCCTCATAACCTCTCCCTCATAAATATATATGACTACCATCCCACTCTTTATTTTACTAATTATCTTTCTCTCTCACTTTCCGTCTCTTTTTAGTTTACTAATTCTCTTTATCTCCCACTTTCTCTTCCATTATGCAAAAAAGGTAGTCTCTACAATACGACTATTTTAGTAGTTATATTATTTAAAAATATTTCCATTCATTGTTAGTATCAATTACATCTAACTACAATATGTATTTATTTTCACATGCTTCATTTTGCAGGTGCTAAATTAGACAACCAGAATGCATCTAACAATGGATATTGATTTTTCCACAATTATTGGTGTCATTTGCCTATTTGCAATCTTTGTTTCGTTTTTTCTCTATTGCAGTCCACTTTTCCATTGTTCATCTTCCAATTGTAAGTGTACCCCTCTTCTTCAATCCGTTCAGACTGAAAAAATTAACGAACAGGCGGAGGGGTCTAGCGGATCAATGATTGATGTATGCATGCACTGCGGGCATCATGGGCCAAAGAATGAATTATTATGTTGTGTTACTTGTCAATACACGACTATGCACCCAGGATGTATTTCTGCCAACCAATCCGATGAATTTCAAACGGATTTCTCTGATGCTTGGGTCTGTAGGGAATGTGCTATTAACATTGCAGTGTTTTATCAAATTATATAATTGTTAAAAAGGTCTTTTTGTTGGTTTTATAATAATTATATTACTGTTTTTAGAAATTTTCGTTTCCTTAGACAATATTAATTTTAACTCCTACAATATTGTTTACAACTATATATATATATATATATATATATATATATATAATATATTTGAAAACATGTCAGGCGAAAACACAATTTCAAAGATGTTTTGACAAACTAATGCTATTATTATTATCCCTGCTTTTTATTTAAGTGAAAACAAAAAGATGAAGAGGTAACAAAAATACTGCTACACTAACGGTTAAATTTTTTTCTAATAATAGTAAAAACAAATAAAAAAAAATTGAAAAAATAAAATAAAAAAATAATTAGAAATTTAAAATCAAGACTAACATAATATAAGTTTTCTCTTCAGTAAGTTAACTTTTGCACCGTTAGTGATTCCCATTCATTATCATGTGTAAGCAAAAAAAAAAAAAAAAAAAAAAATAAACAAATACGGTTCTATCTATCTGCTACAACATAAAACAGTTATTATTTGTTCTTCATCTCACAAAACCACCACGCCCTCAGGCCTCCCGGTCATCTCTATTGCAGTTGAATTTTTATATCCCCTGGTTTATGTTTTCAGATTCTCACAACTACGGAGTCAACAAAAATCTGTATGATACTAAAGTTTCTGCACCAGTATTGATTATCAATGAAACTTATTTATTAATTATGACTTATTTATTATTACACAGCTAATGGATCCCAAATCACCCGAAAAACCAAAATCAAAAAAACGGCGATTTCCTTTCGGTTCGAATAGTCACGTCGAGGAGGTAGACCCATTAATATCCATAACACATTCCGTAAGGGATAACACAACATCTTCCTCCACAGTTATCGCCAATGTATTGGGTGAATGCACGCTAAACCGCCAATGTGACATTTTAGGTAACGCTAATGGTTTTATTTATATTTTAAATGCAGCATTGTATGTTAATTATACTTTCATCTTCATATCCATTAATTTATCTACTTTTATTTGTTTATAAGATTTCGAAGCAGATGAAAATTACGAAATTACTACGGGTGCACGTCAATATCGAAATACTGGAATCAACAAAGTTGAACAAATTATACCACCAGGTATTTAATTGCATAAATTTATGACAAACTATCTTTATTTGGAAAAGAGACTGACTTGGATAAATCTAGGCTTATTATTGAATGTAATTAACAATAACATCTTTTTTTGTTAATTAAATTGATCATAATTTTTTATAATATTTATGATATATTTTTTTCAGCTATGATGCGTGATTTATTTAATACAAGGGCTGCAAGATTGAACAGAAAACAATTGATGCAAAACAGGAGGTCTTTGGTGAAAAAAGGGGGTAAAAAAATTAATTTTATGCTTGCATTATCATCCATGTTATATTTTACATTTAATGGAGTCATGTTGTATGTAATTATCAGGCAATGTTGCATCTACCTTACTTGATAAATGCAATAATATCGACACTGCAAAGCTAAGATCCAAGCAGAATAATAAAACTGGTGAGTATATTGTCAGCAACAAATCATTGGCAAAATTAAAAGGGAAAATGCCTATGGAAAATGAAGGCAACAAATTCATTAACATTCACACAACAAAAAGACACTCCATCGAAAAAATGGATACATCTGTTAGCAGGAGCATATTAGCATCCGAAGGTAAGTTCCAAGTTATTTTTCTGCATATTCACATATACTTATTTAATCTCTTAATCTTTGGAATTTGTATGTATAACAGATGGTACCAGACATTACCATGACATAGATCCTGGTACCAGCGAAATTCCAATATTTTCATCAAATTCGTATTATGAATCCAATAGAAGGCAACCTTCTGATATTTATAAAAAAGAACCATATGGCTGTCCAATATATTTGAGTGAGTAAAATATATTTTATTAATGACATTATTGTCTTATATTTTTTCTATATTCTTAAAATATTAGGAATTCTTCAAAGCGAGGAAAGGGTATATCCAATACTAAAAAAATGATACAGTCTTCCGCGCATGGCTTCGTTTTGGAATCTACACCCAGCATTTTGGTTGACGAGGATTTAAGTACAATAAGAGAAATTACTTCAGATAGTGGAGGTAATCACTACTATTGGACGATTCAATCTTTACGTAAATTGCTCGACAATTACATGAGGGAATGAATAGTCAGCTTATATGAAAAATACCTTTCTTTGTATAGATTCTGAATATGTTTCAAACGACGACGCAAGCGATGATTCTGCTGATTATAATGGTAACATGGATTTTACATTTTAACTATATTTATAACATCATTTGCATTACTAAATGTGTAATAAGATTTAGTAACAACCTAATTCGTATAAAAATACTTGAACAGATTATGATGATCTTGGAGATCAGACATATGTTTGTAAATCATGTAGTGCAATGATGTGGTATGGCGAAAGGCTTGACAAACATAAACATACATCAAAGCCAAAATTTTCTCTTTGTTGTATGGATGGTAAAGTTCAATTGCCGAACTTGATAAAACCCCCAGTTGTATTATCGAATTTATTGTTTGGAAGAGATAGACGGAGTAGACATTTCCAAGACAACATTAGATCTTACAATATGATGTTTTCGTTTACATCTCTCGGTGGAAGAATAGAAACCTCTATAAACAACGGGGCAGGCCCATACACTTTTCTTCTCCACGGTCAAAATTATCATTTGCTCGGAAGTTTATTGCCAGAAGAAGGTACAAAGCCTAAATTTGCTCAGTTGTACATTTTCGACACAGAAAATGAAGTACAAAATAGAATTGACGCAGTGAGGTATAACATTATCTTTGCTTATGCATCTATTTTTCAAAATTTATTTTACACTATTATAAATTAATTATTTATTAATGATATTTCAGGTCACGAAATAATTCAAATGATTTAGATCCAACAATTGTGTCTGCATTAAAAGATATGATTGATAATTCCAACGCACTTGCTCAATCATATAGAGCTGCTCGAGATCGTATTTGCATAGATGGAGAACAAGGAGTAAAACTGAAACTGGTAAAAAGTCGAACCAGTGATGGTCGTACATACAATCTTCCAAATGCCAGTGAAATAGCAGCTCTCATTGTTGGAGACTTTGACAATCAAGAAGGGGTTAGGGATATTGTAGTAGAGACACAATCCAAAAAGCTTCAACGTATAAGTGAATTGCATCCTCTTTATCTACCATTACAATACCCATTAATTTTTCCATATGGGGAAGACGGATACAGAGAGGACATTCCTTTGAGGGAAACTTCAACAAGTAATAGCAGAAAGCGAAGATATGTAACCATGCGACAATTCTTTGCATATAGAATCCAGAAAAGAATTGGAGACAGTCCTGTGCTCTTGAGTTCAAAGAAATTATTTCAGCAGCTTAATGTGGATGCTTTTTCGATGATTGAATCCCAAAGATTGAATTTCATAAGACATAACCAAGCTCAACTTAGGGTAGATATGTACAAGAGCATTGAGGAAAAGGTTGGAAGTGGAGATAATGATGGCAAATCTGTTGGTACACGTATTATTATTCCATCGACTTTTACAAACGGCCCGAGATATATGTTCAACAACTTCATGGACGCATTACAAATATGTAATTGGATTGGGTTTCCATCATTGTTTATAACTATAACATGCAATCCAAAGTGGCCCGAAATACAAAGAGTATTGAAAGATACGAATTTGCGCCCAGAAGATCGACCAGATGTTCTTTGTCGAGTTTTTAAGATGAAGCTTGATAGTTTGATTGCAGATTTCAAGAAAGGCCATATTTTCGGACGAATTAAATCATGTAAGTATTTCAAACTTTGAACTATTTTGCAGATAACATAATGGTACTTTTTATTTACTCATTGTTTACTACTCCATAACATTAGTGCATGTTACAAAACTTATATTATCTTCATTATAAATTTTAAATGCAGATGTCTGTACAATTGAATTTCAAAAACGCGGACTACCACATGCGCATATACTCCTTTGGCTGCATAATGATGACAAACCCAAATGCTCCGAAGATATTGATCGAATTATTTGTGCAGAAATCCCAGACAAAACTTCTGACAGAAAAATGTATAAATTGGTGAAAAAATACATGATTCACGGTCCGTGTGGTCAAGCTAATATAAAGTCTCCATGCATGCACAATGGTGTTTGCTCCAAACAATTTCCAAAAAGGTTTGCTCAACGTACGGAAGCTGGTGAGGATGGTTATCATTCATACAAGAGAAGAGACAATGGGAGAACCGTTACAAAGAAGAATGTTGTACTTGACAACGGTTTTGTGGTCCCGTATAACCGTGCTCTACTGCTGAAATACAGAGCTCACATAAACATTGAGTTGTGCAACCAGAATAAGTCCATCAAATATTTGTTCAAATACGTCAATAAAGGCCATGATAGGGTTACAGTTGCATTTCATAAATCTCAAAACCCAAATGGCGGTCCAGATATTCATGATGAGATAAAGATGTATTATGACTGCAGGTAACTACTATTATTATTATTATTATTATTATTATTATTATTATTATTATTATTATTATTATTATTATTATTATTATTATTATTATTATTATTATTATTATTATTATTATTATTATTATTATTATTATTATTATT